GTGTGTGTGTGTGTGTGTGTGTGTGTGTGTGTGTGTGTGTGTGTGTGTGTGTGTGTGTATGTGTGTGTGTGTGTGTGTGTGTGTGCACGCGCGTGCGTGTGTGTGTGTGCGTGTGTGTGTGTGCGTGCATGCGTGTGTGTACATGCGTGTATGGCTGTCTATATTGGTTACCCCAGCAAGTGTAGGGTGTGCATAGGTAGCTGTCTTGGCCGTTTTATACCGATGTACTCCGTGTGGTGTAAACCAGGTGTGCGTTGGTGGTCGATTCACATGGCTTCGCTGGTTGTGTGGATTAGACAGTTATCTGCCGCTATTCTTGATCTGTCTCATTCAGATCTTGTCGGCTATTGTTCCTATAAGAGAAAATCTGTGGTTCACATCCAGCGCATTTGCAGATTTGCGTGCTTCTCTTGCGACGGGCATATACAATATACATGGTGCATGGTACTGTACTTGGTGTGTGTGTGTGCGTGTGCGTGTGTGTATGTGTGCGCGCGCGCGCGCACACGTTGGGGCTTGACCGTGAGCACTTCCAAGACGAAGGTGATGGCCGTAGGTGATGACTTTGCTCGGTGTGGCATACAGCTGGAGTCTGGTGATGTTATCGATCAGGTAACCAGTTTTACCTACCTTGGTGGTTCTCTAGACGATAACGGTTCACTGGATGGCGAGGTAGCGGTGCGGCTGGCTAAGGCATCACGCGTCTTTGGCTCCTTGCAGACGCCAATATTTCAATACAAGCCCCTATCCATACACACAAAGAGACTGGTGTACAGTATAAGGCCATTGTACTCACCACTCTGTTTTACGGTGCCGTAACCTGGGCACTGAAGGCGACACACCTGCGGCGGCTGACCGTCTTCCATCATGCGTGCAGCCGTGCCATCCTCGGTGCATCCCGCTCGACGCAGTGGCAGGACAGGCTCACCAGCGAGGAGATCGCAAAGCGTGTCGGACTTCCGGTAGTCATCGGTGAGCTTCTGCGATGCCATCGTCTTCGCTGGCTTAGTCACATTGCCAGGATAGATTCCACCCGTCTCCCCAAGCAGGTCCTCTTCGGGGAGCTTCCGTTGCGGTGCCCCAGTCACAGCCCCAGGAAGAGATGACGTGATGTGGCTATATGTCGACCTGACCTGGCCATGGCAGGGATCCCGGAAAGTGACTGGTATGACTGATGTGGCACAAGACAGGGGAGAGTGGAGGAAGTTGTCTTGTCGTCCTTGTCCTCCTCCACCAGAGCCAGCGAAGAGTTTTTAATGCACGTGTGGACGAACATTTCGCCGGGCGGGTGACTTGAAGTGTCACTCCCCATATTGCTCAGCTCGCACGCTATCATCGCACTAGCGATGGGCGTCCAAGGTGTGTGTGTGTGTGTGTGTGTGTGTGTGTGTGTGTGTGTGTGTGTGTATGTGTGTGACACCTTACCTTTGTGGAGATCGAGTGTCGTTGATGTTGTGCCACCACCACCACCATCTAAGCCACCTGTGCACTGCAGTGTTTGCGACCGTCATCTTAGTGCGTCTGGGTACAAGCGGCATAGGTGCAGTGCGGCCCGTCAACTTCCTGTCAGCCAACAGCCTGGTGCAAAGTCGTGTCAGTGTTGTGGTAGATGGTTCAAGAGTGCTGGTGGGCTGAAGGTACATAAGTGCCCTCTCGCAGGTTCCTCCCAACAGCCTTCGGACTCTGTCGATCCTGCACCTCGCCTAGTGCTTCAACACCAACATTGTTGCCCATTCCACTGCCCGTCATGTAACCGGTGCTTTCGATCTGGCCTTGAGTTCAAGTTCTGCTGTGCGTGCGGCGAGAGATATCGCAGACAGCAAGATCTGCAGCGGCATGAGGCCGGATGTTCTGCCGCGACGCCGTGATGCTACCCCTTTGTTCCCCTCCTCATGAGGGCAGCTTAGCCGTTTAACGGCAGCTGTTTGTCAAGGTCAAGGTGTGTGTGTGTGTGTGTGTGTGTGTGTGTGTGTGTGTGTGTGTGTGTGTGTGTGTGTGTGCGCGCGCGCACGTGTGCATGGCCGCTTGCGCGTGTCTCGAGTAGTTGTCGGCTTTGCATGCGCGGGTGCACGGGTGATACTTCACAAAAATGGTCGCAAGCTAACAAACTTTTAAAATACTTACTTCAGCGTTGCTACAAGGAAACAGGGGGGGGGGGGGGTCTATTCCTTCCCACGGCACTAGTTGTAGTGGTTGTTCCTGATCCTGTACTGTAGATCTACTATCTATGCATGATGGCAAGAGTTCATAACTCTTGTCGTCTTGATGAACTCTTGGACTTGTGGGTTATGATCTCTTGTCGATGGGCATGGTGTAGAGGCTACACTCGACGCTACAGCCAGGCTAGCAGTGAGTAGTAAAATACCATGGACACAGTCATATTTTGACGACTCCCGGGGGGATCCCGGATTGAGTGATCGAAGGGGAAGTCCCTCCAAGCGACCTTTCAACTCACTGCCACTGGACTCCATGACCCACTGGCATGGCACTGCCCGGATCCTTGATCCACGCTGTTTCTCGTCATGACTCGACTGTGTACAGTCTGTGTACGTGTAGTGAACAGTCGACTTTTTGTAGTATCCTACATCGTCGCGTACCTCTTCATTTGAACGAATCGAAAATGCCAAATCCTGAGAAGTCTATCTTTCACGTTGTTGTGAATTGAAGTCAGTTTGAGCTAGCAGAGTTTGTTTGGAGTAGGGATCAGTGGAGTGCCATAATCATAAACCCCTGGACCTAGAATTGAGCTAGCTTTCTATGAAAGCCAAGTGCAGGCTGCTTTTTTTTTTTTCGAACAGCACCCACTGAAAAGGCAGTCGACGAGAAGTAACCAATTAAATAGCCATGGCCTTCAATGACTTAGTTGGAGGTGAATGTGGTGGTGCAAACCCACTGATGAAACTTACCTCCCACTTCACTCATGATAAGTCCCTGCGACAGGTTGGTTGAAGAATCGCAGCTTAGCATCATACTGGCTTGAGTAAATGTCCATGTAAATTGTTTTTTTGTGTGTGTGACTGTGTGTGTGTGTGATTTTTGTGTCGAAGGAGGGCCTTGCACCTGCCATTGAGCTTCATCAGCAGGTAATGTGAAAGTGTTTAGTACATGTTTGTAGGTTTGCACATACAAAAACAAAACAAAAAAACAAAACAAAATCATGTGTGGGTGGGTACCAAATGCCACCAAGATATGCTAGGGATTGTCTACATTGCTAGCCGACAGCCTAAGCTATTTAGACAGAAGGAGTTCATGAGGAAGCTAGTGTTATTTTGATTTCTCACCTCCTTGTTATAGTTGTAGTGCTCATAATGTTTAGCGCAATCTGCACCATCATTTCGAATTACAGTAGAGTGCCGATTATCCGCACCCCTCGGGGCACGGGCTATCTCCATGAGGGTTCGGATGAGAAGATTGTTCGGATAAGGGATCAGTCACACATCTATCTAAAGCATTTTCGGAGAGAGTTGCGGTTGCTCGCGACAGGGCTCAATACACCAAGGTGCAGAGCCTAGTACACACACTTGAGAGGAATCAAAAGCGTTTCTGCTGTAACACGGTTCTGCTGATCGGTTAAAACCGTGAAACTCAGAGTTACAGCAGAAACGCTTTTGATTCCTCTCAAGTGTGTGTCTACTAGTCTGTTCCTCCAGGAATCCGCGGACAGAAAGTTGAAATTCTGCGCAGAATTCTGCGGCACAAATCGCTACATTATGCGGCGGATAGCGTGAATTCTGCGGCAATACTGCGGTATTTCTGCGGCGCTGCACCGGCGAAAAGACATGGCTATATGCTATGTACAAGTATCAATAAAAAATTTAGTGGTCGAAAACACACGATAGGCTCAATACAGTAACGAAGAAAACTGGTACAGTTGCTGTACTGTCCATTGCACCTGCACATCATGCACATCCAAATTGGAAATATCAAAGCAACGGTCAGTCAAAGGCATTACAGTCCATGCCAAGGTTGTGGTACAGGTGGAATCCTGATAATTCGAAAATTTGGTGCATTCCATTTGTATCTAGTATTATTTATTTATTCCCGTAGCTATGCAGAAGACGTTACTTCAGTAACGTCTGGCGCTAGCCAGGGTCCACACAGCTTTAATTTGGTGTTTGTTTGTTTGTGTGTTTGTGTCACGCCTGGCGCTATCCCGTATCTGTCCCGTACCGTACCATCAAACACAGCTGGCCACATACAGCTGGCCGCAATATTATAGGGCTTTCAAACGCAAGATCATAACGTGTAGCAACTTTTAAGAATGAGTATGAATGCGAAGTGTATGGGGGAATGCATGTAGGGCGATAGTGCGGGTTCGAATCCCAGGTAATGCCTGAAAAATAGGAGAATTGAAAAATTTATAACATCCCATTTCTTTTTTTGCCGTCATCAAGGCGGTAGACGGTGTCGTATTACCCTCGACCGTACCTGTCCCGTACATGTCCCGTACATGTCCCGTACCGTACAATCAAAGACGGCTGGCCACAATGCATATTCAAATAGGGCTTTCAAATACAAGATCATAACGTGAAGCAACTTGGAAGAATTAGTATGTATGCGAAGTGTATCGGGGGATGCATGCAGGGCGATAGTGCGGGTTCGAATCCCAGGTTATGTCTAAAAACGAAAAGTTGAAACTAATAAGAATTTATAACATCTCTATGCTTTTTTTGTCTAGGTCATCAAGGCAAAAAAGCATAGCGTAGGGCCCTGAGCTTCCAAGCTCTCTCGTTTTGGAAGTGAAGTGATCTTATGCAGCGAAGAGACCGTAGTTGGAGAGTTTGAAGTGAGGTACCCTGTAATACCGCTTAATTAGAAGTTTTTCCAGGACCGATTTCTATCAATACGATTCCCACATAACAATTTCTGATAATTCGAGCCTCGAACTGGACACGTCCGGTTAATTAGAAGTCCCACAGATTACACTTACATAGAAAATGTGTGGGATTTGTGCTGATAATTCGAAGTTAGCAAAGTGTAATTCGAAGTTCACTGTACACTGTGCTGGTCAGTTCAGTTTGCACGAGCAGGCTGTGCCGGTCAGTTCAGTGTCCGTAAAATTTGTGCCTAAGGTCCATAGCGCAACTCTGCGTGACCATGAGAGCATTTTGACATACATATTGTGTTGTGGGTTCATGTTTGGATAATTAGAATGTCCGGATTATTAGAAGTTTTTCCTGGCATTTTGAGGTTCGAATTATCAGGATTTCACCTGTACAACATTTTATTTATTTTATTTATTTATTTATTGCAGCATCTCATAGCACAGTGAGAACACCGGCCAATACAAAGAGAGAGGGTGTTAGCCAACCACGGCAAGGAAGGGAGAAGGGGAGGAGAAGAAAAAAGGAACCGGCATGGATAAGTAGTGATTGCAACAAAATGAGAAACGCAAAATCAAAGTCAAGGCGCGACAAGGCTCTTAAAAAGGCGGAGGGAAGAAAGGTCCTTAGCTTCTTGGGGAAGCGCCAGCCACGCAGAGTACGCAGTGAAAAGGGGAGAGTGAAGTAGAAAGGAGGACTTGGGTTTCGGAAAGGGAAAGGGAGTTTCTCGTGCTACGGGAAGAAAACCAGTTGAAACAGTGGAGGTGAGGTGGACACAGATTGAGTTTGAGAGAATGGATAAGGGTGACAAGATGTGAATTACGTCTCTTAGACAAAGGGGTAGTGTGAGCAAGGGCATAAAGGGTGGAAGATGGGAGCATGCGGGGTTTCCGGAGGAGGATTTTTAGAACTTTTTTGTGCTGAATTTCGAGCTTTTCAGCACGGGTTGTGGAAATTCCAGCCCAAGCAGTATCTGCATAATCAAAAATGGGGCGTATGTAAGCTGAGTAAAAGAGGAGTTTACAAGAGATTGGGAGATGGTAACAGTGAGAAGAGAGGATTCCTAAAGATGAACTTGATCGTTTACATATGTAATCGATGTGGGGGTCCCATGAAAGATTAGAGTCAATGAAAATGCCAAGATGCTTATGGCTGGAGACTATGTCTATAGGCTGGGGGAAAGTGGGATGGAGGAGGGGCGGAACATCAGGCTGAGAAGGAAAGAGCATGATTTTAGTTTTAGACAGATTGGGCGATAACCGCCAAGACGACATCCGGGAAATTACTCTTTGAATCCCGTTAGCTAGGTTACTCATCAGGCCAGTGATGTTAGGAGATGCCCGTAGGAGCGTTGTGTCGTCTGCGAATAGTGATGTGCCCGGGGCAGCTGCGGGCAGATCATTGACGTATAAGATAAAAAGAAGGGGGCCGAGGATGGAACCCTGGGGAACTCCGGATAGTACTGTTGTGTCGGCTGAGGACGTCCCATGTACCGTGACGTACTGCGTTCGCCCAGTTAGGTAAGATGTCAGCCATAGCAGGGGATTGCCGTCTACAGTAAACGATCCACGAAGCTTGGCCAAGAGCCCCCGGTGCCAGACGGTATCGAAGGCCTTGGCAAGATCGAAAAAACAGATCCCGACTAGGTCTCCAGCATCCCGATGTCGACACACTAATTGCACCAGGCGCGTCAGCTGGAGGGTGGTAGAATCGCCTCTGCGAAATCCGGACTGAGCTGAACTCAAACGTGACGAGACATGACAGTACAATTGGTCGTAGAAAACGCGCTCACAGAGTTTGGAAACACAGGACAGTAAAGATATCGGACGGTAGTTTGATGCTTCGTGGCGGGACCCTTTCTTGTAGATCGGTATAACATTAGCTGTTTTCCATGCAGAGGGAAAACGACCAGTGCGGAATGATAGGTTGAAAATCAGACATAAGGGGTATGCTATTGAGGGCGCAAGGGACTTTAATACCAGATTAGTGATGCCGTCTGGGCCTGGCGCCTTGTCAGACGGGAGCTTTCGAATGTAACGTCGGATGGCAGCAGTCGTAGTAAAGACAGATGTGAGGCGGTCAGCCTCACCCGACTCCTCGGCAATGGGGGGAATGGGTAGAGAAGGGTCATCAGGCACGGCCACTGAGGCGAACTGAGAGTTCAATGCAGTGGCTTTAGCTGAAGAGGTAGTAGCCTGCTGTGTAGAACTAATGGTGAGTGTCGGGATGTCACGAGATACTTTATGATTTTTTAATTTGCTCACGAACTGAAACAGTGATGGGCGGTTTTTGTCCTGCAGCGTAGCTTGTACGGACCGAATGTATCCCCGGTATTTCGATCGAGTCAGACTCTTCACCAAGTTCCGTTGAGATCGATATACATGCATGTTAAGCTGGGTTGGGTATTTCTTACACACACTGTAGAAATCGTGCTTTGCCTTAATGGCGGCACGGAGGGGGGCATCAACCCAAGGTGGCTGACCTAAACGTCGGCATGAGGGGGAGAGTGGACGCCGGGAGAAGTACCCGAGGTGCTTCTCCATGGCCCTGCTAAGAATAGAGTGGAAAGACGAAAGAGCGTCATCCACGTGCGAGCTGCGGAGGTGACATTTCCAGTGGACATCAGCAAGTTCAGCATTCAGGTCATCCCATACGCAACGTGGCACCAACTTGAAATTATAACCTGGGGGTGTAGGGGTAGATGTTGGGAGGAAGTGATGTTGTAGGGTTGGATTTTTGGACGTGACAGGGAGACGGACTCGACAGATGAGCTGCACGTGGTCAGAGCTACCCAGTGGAGCGGCTGAATCAACGGAGAGGAACTGCTGGGGTGAATTTGTGACGATGAGGTCCAAGCAAGATGACCGGCCACTTGGGCTCCAGTGCGTAGGGAAGTTGACCAGTTGCTCTAATCCGAAGCACCTGAAGGCGGTTTCAAGGCACTGACCCACCGGGGTTGTCCGATCACCAGCCAACCAGCTCGAGTTATGGGCATTGAAGTCACCGGTGAGGAGTAGTGTGGATACAGGTAGATCAAGCGACAGAAGGCAGTCTTCCAGACCATCAGAATATGCCTGGATATCCGCCAGGGTACCACCAGGAGGTCGGTAGGTGGCGCAGACTACGAGTGGACGTTGGGGTGAGTTGGCTGTGCGAAGCTCAAGCCAGATGGCCTCCAAGCCCGGTTGCTGAAGATTCGCCAGAGGCTTCACCGATGTAAAGGAGCCATCTTTCACCAATATGGCTACCCCACCATAACCTCTGGTAGGATTGGCCGATCGAATATTAGAGGTGGGACGATCCCGTCGATGAACTGTGTAGCCTGCCAATGAGAAGAGGTTGGCAGGGGACAACCATGTTTCACACAAACATATAACCTCCGGAGAGTAGATGTTGCACATAACAGTGAGTTCCGCTACTTTGTTGACCACTGAGCGGCAGTTGAGGGAAAGGATGGTAAGGGCAGTATGGATGGGAGGATAAAAGGGATGGGCCAGTGGATTCAGTGTTCCAGTAGTGTTGGGGAAGACAAGGTTACTATTCATTGTGAGAGATATTGTCCGGTGGGCTGGTCAGAATAGAAACGCCATTCCCTCACGGTATGACCCATTGTGTTTGGCCAGAAGGTGTGCCGGCATACAGTATCGGCATCCTTACCCTCGACAGTCACTCTGGCGGAGGCAGTTCGAAAATACTCGGAGGAGTATATAACAAGTGCTCTCAGAGAGCTTTGTGACAAGGACTTCCGCCTTTCTGAAAACACGAGGTTGTAGAGCGAGAAGCTGCGTTCCGCGTCTGCCGAATTCGTCACAGCATTCTTGTACGTGAGTGCCAAGCTTGACAGCACTGGGATTTCACCAGCGACAGACCTCCAGAAGGCATCCAGGTTGATGTTGGGCGTGCCTTCATCACTCTCTGCGGCAACAACTGCTTCAGGGGCGAGCCTGGAACAATACGCTACCATCTCCTCTTTCGGCACCTCTGTGAATCCTGGTATCGCCGCATAGTGGGATGTTGAGTGATTCAAACGTGGAACAAGCAGTGGGTGAAGGATGCGAGCTGCTTTCAGGAACGCTATCGCAGGTTGGCCAGCCGGTGTCATGTACTTGTGCAGTTTGTCAGCCGCATACTGGAAGGCTGACTTGAACAGGACCAGGAGAGTAGACTTCTCATCCGCCGACAGCATGCCAGTGGAAAGACAGGGGCAGTCTTCTACAGTCAGCAACTGGTGAGCCTCCACTTCTCGCTCCAAGCTGTTTAGCGTGTTCCAAGCACTCAACGCACATGGCTTGCGGCTCTGGAATGAGTCGTTCAGCTTCATGAACCGTGCGCAGTTGTCTGATACAAAATTCATCTGAACGCACAAGCTGGTCCATGTCTCGGGATTCTCTGTGACAGCAAACAACTCTTTGACAGAGATTGGTGGCTGTGATGCCAGCTCCATCTCCTGGGCGATGAACTGTGGGTAGAAGTCAAGGTTCTGGACGTGGTAGTTGACAGCATCATACCAGCATCCCCACCTGGTCGAGATTGGGTTTGGAGCCATCGTTGCTGGTCGCTTCCTGCCAGGCGCATCTCCGTGCTCCTCATCAATGTGCTCCTTGAGAGCCTTCAGGAAGCGTGCTTTGCGACCGCCTGCGAGGTAGAACATCTGGCTGAACCACCGAATGAATGCATTGACATTATCAAATGGCTTGCGGAAGCTATCACCAACCAGGTTCATGATATGTGCTAAGCACGTTACATGAATAGTGTTGGGGAAGAGCGCGGCCAGCACTGAGGTGTACGCCTTCTTCATTATAGGCTGCATTGTCGGTATCAAACATGATCACTTTAGCGAAATCAACATCAAAAGCAGTGACGGTCTTCACTATCGCCTGCGATACCGTTGAGTGATTCGTCTTCTCCAGGAAGACAACATCCAGCAGGTGTGCATCCAAGCGCCCTCCGTCTTTCACCTCCATCGTTGAGACCAATATGTTCAGTACATACCGCCCGGAATCATCACTCATCTCATCCAGTATAACAGCGAGGTGCTTACCATGGATTTTCATCTTGAGCGATTCCACATGCTCGTCGAACAGAAGCGGCAGGTAATGTTCCTGAAGCTGGTGGCCTCCAGGTATCGCACCGCCATTCCTCATTCGTTGGTTCAGGAACTCTCTGATCTTTGGATGGTCAGTTTTTGACAGAGGAATGTTCGTCGCAGCCAGCAGCGATACCCACTCCTTGCAAACCTTTTGTTTCTCATCCTTCGCTACAGTGGCTGCCTTTGTGGCCGTTGCGAGTGTCCTCTGGCGTTTCAAAGGGTTCAACTGGCCAGCGACCTCTTCTCCTTCTCGTCGCTTACGTCACTGTCGATGCTTCTCCGACTTGAGGTGGCCTTCAATCGTGGATTTCCGCACATGGTCCACGACATGACTGCAGAGTTTGCAGAAGAGTTTCCCTCCATCTTCGTACAACTCCGAAGGGCAAATATTGACGCGCTCCTTGGCGGTGACAAACTGCGCAGTTTTCGAAGCGTTGCCTTTCTTCTTGCCTGATTTATCCATGGTGGAAACGTCCGCAAATGACAGCAACAAACCACAACTGAGAAACGCCACTACAAATAGTCACTACTGAAACAACTACTCCGCGGCAAACATTTCTATTCTTAAGAAACATCTGAAGGCGCTGCATATTTGGCAGATCAGAGGTCACTGGGGTGAGTTGTACACGCATTCTACTCCAAAACGTCAGGCTCTCAACACCCCAAATGGCCTGGGTTTCTGTGTAAAATTGCAAAACTCCCTCGACTTTGAATGCAACAAAAATAGCGACAGGACACTGCACTGTGCATGTGCATGAATATGAAGCGCGTGCTCGCATTGCCCCCAAACCGTGATTTTCACCGTTCTGCGGTGAAAACTGTGAATTCCGTGGGATATTTAAAAAACATGAATTCCGCGGAATTCGCGGATTTTACCGCGGCCGCGGAATCGCGGATTCCTGGAGGGACAGACAAGTATCTAAACCATGCATATTCCCGCATGTTTTCATCATTTTTTTCATTCTCATAGGCAGTACAACAGGAGCTTCAGGCGCACTTCAGCTCCGGTTTGGGGAAATCAGCAAAAACCTCTAAAAACCTGCTAATTATTATTGTCCAGACCGACCAGGCGATCCGGATAGTTTACGTCCGGTTAATCGGCATTCTACTGCAGTGCACATTTCATCACCACTTCACCACCACCGAGCTGTATAAATTGAAGTCAATTGACATTGTTGTGCCTTGCCATATTATTACCATGTATTGATTTGAGAAGACTTAGTAATGGTACGAAAGGCCCGATCGGATTTACAACTGGCTTTGTTGCTACTTGCGTTAATATGGTTTCCTCCGACTACATCCCTGTTCAAAGTTGTCCTGGTGGTTACCAACAGCCAGTGCATGCCGGAGTATGTGTTGTGATTTGTGTGCGGGGAAAAAATGAAAAAAGACCAAAAAGTAGGGAATCACTGGCCAGAAAAGCCACTTCATAGCTGTGTGGTGTAGACCAGGCTGAATAGTGGCGGTCAATTCTTCAGCCTTGCAAGCTGTTGAATGGCGCAATCCCACTACAAGTTGCTATGGCTTCTGCTGTAGCATCGCTATCATTGCCTCCGGCGATGGGCGTCAAATGGTCAAATGGTCAATGATGTGTGTGTGTGTGTGTGTGTGTGTGTGTGTACGTGTATGTGTGTGTATGCGTGTGTGTGTATGTGTATGTGTGTGCGTGTGCGCGTGTGTGTGTGTGTGTGTGTGTGTGTGTGTGTGTGTGTGTGTGTGTGTGTGTGGTATATGTACTGCTGTTGTTCTTTACAGGAGCCGGCAGCCATGGTAGCAGCAAACACATTTCACATGCAACATTTGCTCAACAGCATACAGTCATCTAACCCAGCGGCGGCGGCGGTGGCATCGGCAGCACTGACCGGTGACATGCAACGCTCCCATGGTGCTGCACCCATTGACATGGCAGCACGCTGGCATGAAGCACACATGCACGGTGCTGCTGGTGGTGGTGGTGGTGAGTGAACACGTGTTTCTTTGTTAGAATAGTGTGATGCCTCTGAACATGTCATGAGCATTTCACCATCATAGTTCAATTGTGGAAAAAGCCACTTGTATGGGCAAGTCAACTTGCATATCATCAAACTAAAGTGATTGGGGAAATCAAATCAAAATAAATAATTGAACACAAAAGCACTACAACATTGGTATTATGACTATTATCATAGTTCAATTGTGCTACTACAGGTTCCCTCGTTAGTACGACATTGGTTACAAGACAAATCTCATTAGTAGACACTGATCCGAAATCCCCTGACTCCTGAAACGCATTTAACAGTCGTACATGCAAGTCCGGGTAGTAGATAATACTAGTTACATGTAGATGACAAAAATTGACCCCCCCCCCCCGGTTGTCTAATAACGAGGGCAGACCTGTACTTGCGCTATGCGGCTGATATACATACACTGCATCGTACGTTGAGACAGGGAGAGCACTGATTTCATTACACTCACATCTCTCTTATTCTGACCTCCAAGTTACAGGCACCTCGGTCTACCGGGCACCCTGTGGGTGAGTTTTAGTGGAAAATTGGAAATGCTACCAATTGTTGTGGAAATACATTATAGTGACGTTATATGGCAGATCTCTGGCCCTTGCCCATTGAGATGTATATGATTCAGAGTTACGGACAAAGTCATGGGTAGTTTCCGGTCCGGGACTACGCGGATAAAATGAGATATGGGGGGATTGAATGAGTCAGGCCTTCTTTCGTTTTGACAGTTTGGTGTCATAAAAGAAAATGCTGAAATCAGCCTCGCTGTTGGTGTTTTCTTCTTCTTTTCAAGCGTTGGGTTGGGTACCGGTCTAGAAAGAGTCGAAAGCTTTGACTGGATAATTTCCTGTATAATACTACTAACTGTGACATATCGACTTTGGACAGGGCATTATGATGTGGTGTGCGACTTCTCTTCATACATGTGTTGTGTGCGATCTCTCTTTATCCACGTGTAGTGGACTGTCCATCTTCCCTCGCACATGTGTTTTGGAGCGTTATTCCCCGTCAGCTTGGACTTGTACTGCCACGAGTCTCCTCTCAATTTGGTTATTCCTCTCTTTCTTATTTAGCCGCTGACCGCTGGAACTCAGTTCCGGCATCGGTCCACCTTGCTGCTTCACCAAGTCAATTTCGTATCGCAATCCTAGATTGGCTAGGGTACCCTGTAAAGAGACCATAGGTCTGTGGGGACTGCCCTAGAGAAATATGAATAAATACTATACTATACTATCCATGTGTTGTGCGCGATCTTCCCTCGTCCACATGCATGGGATATGATTCATCTGACCTAGGTTAAATCTATAGTGAGCCAAAGGCGAAGGGATGACTCAGGTATTTTTGTCTGTATGACATTGTGTATGTGTTTGCTTGTTTATTTGTTTGTTACATTGCTCGCATCTGTATCAGCTGGTGCTGTGGTGTCCACTGCCCCTCTCCACGCAGCCATACACAGGTAGGTTTAATCTGTACTATCTCTCTCACTATACATTCCGTTCAGAAGAGGTTTGGCCTTGCAGATTTGAAAATCAGGTTCGGTCTGAATTTGGCCTCCAAAGCGCGATTGCCAATGTCTTTGGATCTGCAATTCTGTAGGTGTACATTGTTATGTGCACTATCTTTTCTCCTCACTGCCATCACTCTTTCGTCTGGCAAGGCATTCTGTGTCGGTGCAGATGGCACTGATGAGCTCACACATGGTTTTAGAGCACATGTACTGGGATGTTTTGTGATAATCAGGGAAACTTTCCTCCCAAAAGTTTGCCTGCTGTGTGAATGCACCCATTCCCTTGTGAGTTCTCCACCATTTCTATCGTATGTACTGTACAGTACTACTTGCTACTCGCCTGCACATGTGGCGTATCTAAAATCCTCAAGGATCATTCTGTTTGAGGAAAGGTGTTCAGTGTACGAAGGTACCTGTAGTCCTTTTGCACTGCAGCAAGTACTAGATTTGGCTTTCTGCCGGTGTCGCAGTAGTACAGCTATGTCCTACATTCTTGTCTGTTGTTGTTGTTGTTGTTGTTGTTGTTGTTGTTGTTGTTGTTGTTGTTGTTGTTGTTGTTGTTGTTGTTGTTGTTGTTGTTGTTGTTGTTGTTGTTGTTGTTGTTGTTGTTGTTGCTGTTGCTGTTGCTGTTGCTGTTGCTGTTGCTGTTGCTGTTGCTGTTGCTGTTGCTGTTGCTGTTGCTGTTGCTGTTGCTGTTGCTGTTGCTGTTGCTGTTGCTGTTGCTGTTGCTGTTGCTGTTGCTGCTGCTGCTGCTGCTGCTGCTGCTGCTGCTGTTGCTGTTGCTGTTGTTGTTGTTGTTGTTGTTGTTGTTGTTGTTGTTGTTGTTGTTGTTGTTGTTTTTGAATTCTTTATTCTCACGATGGCACCATCGCCAATAAGAGTTGTTGTTGTTGTTGTTGTTGTTGTTGTTGTTGTTGTTGTTGTTGCCGTTGCTGTTGCTGCTGCTGTTGCTGTTTCAAATCTTTATTCTCACGATAGTTGTTGTTGTTGTTGTTGTTGTTGTTGTTGTTGTTGTTGTTGTTGTTGTTGTTGTTGTTGTTGTTGTTGTTGTTGTTGTTGCTGTTGTTGTTGTTGTTGTTTCACATCTTTATCCTCACGATTGTTGTTACTGTTACTGTTGTCGCCACCGCCGTCACCATTGTTTTGTTGCATTGACCGTTACAGCGCGAAGCCTCAACTCTCAACACAACGGGGAAATGTCGCGGCAGGCTGGTATGTAATAGGAAGTATATGCAGTGTCCATACGTGCCAACCGTCTAGGGTTTCCCGGGACAGTCCAGGGAATAGGGTGTTTGTCCCGGGGTCCAGGGGTGTCCTGTGAAAGTTCCGGGATTCAGATGGAACTTTTGAAATTGATGTTTTTCTCATTTTTATGACGATTTTTCAGCGTTTCCTCGAACTAGATCCGTTGTAAGTACACACAGCGCCAGCTCTCGTGTCCGCAAGTGCAACTCGTTCAAGAGTAGAAGTTTACTTGCAGATTTCCTCATGTTTCTCCTTCTCTTGTAGTCAAAAGAGGAAGTCGTCAACTGTGACCCAGACCGTATCCACAAAAAAATGAACAGAGCCTTTTCTTTCAAGGAGGATTGGATTCACAAACACAGCGTCGCACAGAGTTCTATGGGCAAGGGCTACCTGTTTTGCAAAGGGTGTCCAAGTCATGTCTGTCGCGACGTCGGTGGTGAGAATCAGCTGAAGCAACACTGCAAGACGGAAAAAAACCTGTAGAATTGCAATGGATCGCCGGTAGTCAACATACATTTTACTTGTGCAGTTACAGCTCAATGCAATGACATCCTTTTTTTCCGTAAGCAGCAGTCGATGAAAAATACATCTGCTCATGATGGATGCGGTAAAAAACTTGGTGTCCAGGGAAAACAGTAAGAATCAAGGGAATTCAGCCTTGTTGTCCAGGGAACTAAAGCCTCCAGGTTGGCATGTATGAGTGTCTGCAACATTGGAATGTGATAATGTCACTAATACGTCGTATAAGTATAGTAATGGTTCTATGAAGCTGTGTTTCAACAATGGCAACTGATGGTGCTGTGGTGTGCACTGCAATACACTGGAGAATGATCAAGAAGGTCATGGCTTGTAGATCATGCCACACTATGATGTGTTTGTGCAGGGCTCCCCCGCCGTATCTAGCGCATCCGGGTCTGAGACAGTCGCTGGCCAGTATGCCAATGCTACAGCAACAACCACAGCAAACCTGGTATGTACAATACGGTTTACATGTACATGTAGCCTGGAAATGCTAATTGAAGGCAATGTTGCTTGTTAGGTTGGATCGTGACTGGTTTGATTTTGCCATCCACGTTCGTGTACTTCTTCAAGTAGAACGTTAATGTAAGAAGAAGAAAAAGAAGTAGTAGCAGCATTGTGCATTGTGTAGGGCGAATTATTTTATCGGCAGGCAGTAACTGAATGAGAGAAAGAAGAAGAAAAAAGGGGCGACTACTCCAACTTCAGTAGTTCAGGACTTTGTAGGGTGCCGAGTGCACACCCTCTCTCTCACGATATGACCAACACCATTGTAAATGCTGCTTTTAAGTGACCAGTCAGTGCCAGAACTTGGTTATTGAGCTTTCTTAGAAAGTAGCACTGCTAGAGTCACGCCAGGTCCGCAAGTGTGCAGTAGTACCGTCAAGTACCGCGAGAGCACACCACCATCTTGTCCTTTCGTGGTCGTGTTGTGGAGGTGATGTCCTGTCTGTAAGTCATACGACATGTACCTTGTGCACACATTGCACGTTGTGCAATCATTCCGTACTCAGTTTACCTTCGAGTGGATTCGAGCTCCACACAAAAGCATGCCAAGTGTGACCGTAGTACACTAAGGTTCTCACACCGTACAAACTTAGTAGCACTTTGCCATACGATTTTCCTTCCCCGGCCCTTGGCTGTAAAATTGAGGCGGTTGCACTCTCGCGAGACGGGGCGCTCTCGTGGTACTTTACGGTACATGTGTGTACCTGTGCAGTGGTGCTGCAGCATGCATGTGTGCACCTGTAAATTGGTGCTGCAGTAGTGCATGCATACAAAGAGAGCTATTCTTTTCCCCTAACATGCTGGTTATCACACCATTCTTTGTGTGTGTGTTTTCATGGGCAGGAGTAAAGAAGCAGCCGCCCAATGGTAAGCTGGATGAGTAGGAATTTACATTGTACTGGGACATGCAATGAATATGAACCAGCGCACGCGATAATCGACCTTAGTGACACGCACTTCAAACTGAGAAAACGCACTTCAAACATTCTCTGTTTTCGTGTGATGTGCATATATATCAGGGAAAATGCTCTATCTTCTAAGACCCGTAACTCAAGTTTTACTCAAGATTTTCAAACGTTTTTTTGCATTGAATTCTGCATAAATCCATCTGCCTTTATCCACTGTCATCTCAGTTTCTGAAAATATGTCACTAAGGGTGATTTTCGCGTGTGCTGGCTCATATGTGCTTGTTTTGACCACTATGCAATCAGTGATCTATGTCAGTTAGGATATCAAAACAAGAAACTTTGATCATGCTGATTACAATGCATGCATGCCATGCCCCCCCCCCCATGTTACATCCATGACAAACGTACACACACCACCACCGCACACACACACACGCGCGCGCGCACACACACACACAGCCATCACCACCACATGCATGCATGCACACAGCACACATGCACATACATACCTACATACATACATACATACACACATACGTACAATTCCTCCTGATGACTCACAACATGTGTTTCTCAACCTCCTCACAGGGAAGCTGACTTCAAGGCGAAAGAAGCAGCAGAAACGGAGATAACAGAGTGAGTTTTGCTCTTTTTTTTAAAATAAATTTCAGAGCATTTGCACACTACTGTAGCTCTAAAACTGATAATTGTAAAGATGGTCTTATCCTCATCTTAGCAATTTAGGGAATGGAGTAATATTCTAGTGCTCAAATGGGTGCTCTCTATATACAGTACGTCTATAAGGGAACCTGCTTGCTCATACGTGCACATTCCCACCAAGTCAGCACGTGGTCCTACACTATCGAGTATCGAGTATCAAGTATCAAGAAGTCCTTTTTGAATTCGAGTCGGGTTTACACACTATAGTTATCCGTTTTAGGGCACGCTCACACTGCGACCAAAACCAGCGTCCATGCGGCCATGCGGCCAAGTTGCATGGCATGAACTTGACCAAAACAAAACCGGAGGGGGTGCCACGACTTGGCGGCAACATGATCGTAGACGTGAAGCGTATTTGCGTACAACCTGGCCTGAAGTATGTTCAATTTCTCAAATTCCGGTGTGTTGATTCATGAAACTCGGCGGTTGTCCATGTCATCCTCGACATTTGCACATTTTTACAATTTTGTAGTTGTGGTCTTGCACGCACGCACCGCCATATATGCATTCTTTGCCCTTTTTGGACGATGTCAATTTTGTTTTTGTTTTTGTAGTTGCTTCGTTGTCAGTTGATCGGGTCAGTGACCAATTTCTACAGTGCACTCGTTCAATACGATGGTAGCTTGGTCTGGCTTTTCGGTTTGGGAAATCATCTTTCTCTACTCTTCTGCGATGATGGAATGCCATACCTCAAGACATTTCAGTTACATATCATCGGAAAAAACAGTTCTCATCTCGGCAACAGACGAAAGAAACCACTACCGGAATTTCCACTGCACTGGCACTTGCTCTGACCATGAGGTCAGGAAAGCGAAAGCGCTTGGATGTCAGCGGCAGTCCCTCAAGAGTCCAAACCTACCTGATTGTATGAATTATTTTCGTCGACTTCAAGAATACGAGCCACGAGGCACTTCCTCCAACATGCAACATGCGAAAATTTACATCCAAAACGGGCCACAACCAGGGAGTCGTCAAATATGGTATTTGACGACTCCCTGGCCACAACTTTATTAGGAAACGCACGAACTCTTTTGGATACGAACTGCAATTCGTAAAGTTTGTGTGACAACTTCACGTCTACGCGTGTACGAGGCCTAGTGTGAGCACGACTGCCACGTTTCTGCGTTTTGCTGACGCATGAACGCGTGCTCATGGTCGCAGTGTGAGCGCGCCCTTACAGTGCCATGCCTCAGGTTCTCTAACTATTTTTCTGACTGAAATCAAATGGGCCATTATAGTGGGAAGAGTCCATAAACAAGAGTGTACAACTATGGCTATTGGTCCGTGTGCTGTGCGCTGTCTTCATTATGTAATTTGCCTGCATCACATCATGTAGTCATGTACTCTAACCCACAATATCTCCTACCAGCTTAATTATGTGTTTAGCTTGATCCGTTCCAGTACTGACATGCTCTCTAAATCTAGGTTGCCCGAACTTCAGTTCCATACAAACTTTCATTTCAAACCACAAGAGGTACCCAAAGGAAAGGGAAGGGCTTTTTTTTGTTGTGACTCAGAGTTTCATGGTTAAACAACCAATCATCAGGTAACAGTGAAGGAGATTGGAAGCAGTGTAGCTATATACTATATTAATATACTTATGGCCAAGCAGAGGAGATAGGAGCAGTCAATCCAGTGCGGAAATAATGTGGCTAGTGCCAAAGCTCATGAATCAACACCTCACAGAGGCAGTGCACCATAACCTGCCAGAATCAACACTTCAATATGGTGGGTGCATAGGGTGAATAATGTTACAAGTAGAGATTATGAAAGTGTGCATGCGAAACACACACAAAACTAAACAGTCACGCACATTTACACTCTCTCACTCTCACACCCTCACGCTAATCTTTAGCACCAGCCATTATTCACCCTATGCACCCAACACATTGAGGTGTTGATTCTAGCAGGTTACCGGTATGGCGCACTGCCTCCGTGAGGTGTTGATTCATGAGCTTTGGCACTAGCCACATTTGTCTCGCACTGGATTGCCACTCATATCTCCTCTGCTTGGCTGTATACCTGGTAGCAGCAAAAAAGCCCTTTCTTTCCTTTGTGTGTATCTTGTGCATGCTCTCGCTCTGTGCTTCATTTCAAACCAGAGGGAAAGTGTGGTGTTTGATGCTCCGCAGTGCGCGGACTGTAGCTGCATATTGTAATGAAAGGCGTGCGCGTCTGACCCATGGAAAGGGCCGGGGTCACGGTTCCATACTCTTCTTTGTGGACTCCTTGATAGTGGCAATAGTAAGGCCAGAGTGTACAACAACTCCATGTAAGGCCACACTTTGTTTTTTCTATGTTTCTCGTCGGCAAATTTTAACAAAAGGTACGCGGGCGGGCGGAAAAAAACAAAAGCCAAGGAAAAAACAAGAACAATTTCTACTGAAAACTGTATACATTTTACAATGTACATGTATACATTGTACAATCATGTACATGTAGTCCCATACATGATTGCACTACATTATCACATCAGCCCACGAATATCAGGCAAACTGCAACAATGTCAATGAGAGCATAAAGTTTGATTACGAGATGGCGAAGAGAACATACATTTATCTGCTATCGCATCAACAAACGTTTCCCACTCGTCATTAATTATTGGTTTTGTTACTTCAACGTTCTTGTGTCCGCTTATCAAACTCTTGTCTCCGCTTATCAAACTCTTGTCTCAATGCTGCTCATCTTTTCCTTGCCATGCGTCTATTGCTTGGATTTTCTGCCTTCGACATCGTTCCACAGACGCCAGTTGCCGCGGAACTCGTCCGACTTACTGTTCCTGGGACCCACGAGGCTCAGCTCAGCCAGTGAACGACTGAAAGCTTCGTCATGACAGCCTTCATCACAGAGAACGGACGAGGAGCGCTCCTTTGCTGCATGCTGTGGTGCAAACGTTTACGATTATTGATTGACGCATCTAGCTGCTGCAGCATGTGTAGCGTACATACATGTACACATGTACGTAGTATGAACTTGTTTTTTCTTCCGAAATTTCTGAAAACCTACGCGGGCGATGACGAGAAACATAGAAAAAACAAAGTGTGGCCTAATAATAATAATAATATTCGCGGGATCCGCGTCGGCATCGCCTGAATGTTCGTTCAGAAACACACAAACTAGCCTTCGCATCCGCAGGCCACCACTATGCCTGTTAACCTTAGTGGCGAATGCAGACTTCACAAGTGAGTCAGGGGAGAGGAGGTTAGTCTCTCAACCAATCGGGCGTGTAACGGCCCATAACCCTATAAACTGCATCCTTGTTATTCTCACTCCGAGCTGTGAGTACCCAGTTGACCGTGGGTGTTGGCGCAGTTCAACACGCGTAAAAAGTCTTTTTACACGCTCCCTGCTACCAGCGCGGGTCTTGAACTCGGGACCTCATGATTCGCAGGCAGGCCTGCAAACCAATCGGCCATATACTCCATGTACGAGATTTAAAAGAATCACGATACGATGTCTTGGCAATGTCTTGGTAATTCCTTATTTTTTTGTTCAAGCTAGGAGTTTTCTGGTTGCTCAGTTGTAGGTGCATGCTGTGTTTTTCCTAAACGGACAGGGATGGTGAAACGGAATTGCAACGTACAGCAAAGAACCTGCTGTCTGAGATGGAGGAGACGCCTGCTGCCGACACAGGTGTAAGTTGTCTTGGCCCCTGTTGTTTGCCTATCCTCGCCATTTCAATGCGTTTAAACACTTGGTGAGTGTGCGGGCGGATAGTCATTCTTCAAATGTGTTTACCTGTGCCCCTTGTGCATAGAGTTTGTTATTTTTTTACGCAACCGGTGACTGTCAGTATTAAAGCAAGATTAGTACAAATAGCCGTACTTTCTACTTTCTGTTCTGTCTGTACATGTATGTCTTTCTGTCTGTCTGCCTGCATAGTTTGCTGATTTTGTTCGATCAGTTGGTAATGGAGAGTTAAGCTTTGATGAGAACGGGGTAAGTCATGCACATACTGGTATACAGTTTAATGTTTGTTTGGTGGCTGTGTGTTGTCTAGATTTGAGCTACGCTGTTGTGAACTACAAAGGAAATCAAACTGTGTAGATTTCTTGTTGAGTGCACATGCTGTGTGTCAGTGCATGACTTTATCACGCATGTTCTGCAGTGAACTGCAACAAACTGGTACCTATAACTTGTAAGACCCTCCTGACTCGGTGGTGTGTGTGTGTATGTGTGTGCCCGTGTGTCTATATGTGTAATGTGTGTATGCACTATGCAATACTATGCATGTATGAGTCTGTATGTGTATGGGTGTGGTGACTTCAATGTTAGAGCTGGAATTGGTGAGGTGGATGATGAGTGGAGTGGCGTGCGAGGGCTACATGGTTTTGGTCGTTTAAACTCAGCAGGAGAGGAGCTGCTCAGTTTCTTGGCACGAAATGGAAGTGTGGTATGCAACACATTATCCTGTGGTACCGCTGAGGCACGTGGAAGGTGGCGTGAACATTTTGATGGCCTCCTGAACATTGCCAGTGCTTTCGACTCGGAGGTAGTGGATTCAATCGAGCAGCGGCCCAGGAGCCGAGCAGCATGCCGATAATTCCAAGCAGTGAGTTCTTACCTTTCAACCACGCATCGCGACCAAATCCACCGCCACTCGTCTTCCTTTGGAAATGCGTCTTGCACAAAGCGCATGACATGGATAGACTGGCATGGTCGTAGTCCAGCCAGGGTCGACCTTTCTTCCAAGAGTCTTGGAAAGCTTGAGTTCTTTTTCTCTTCGCTGCGGGCTCCATCATCCAAATCGCCAGTCGGCTGAAAACTTGCAACTGTGTCAAAAGCTATAGCCAAAGTTACGCTTTTGACTGCCTGCCCCATCGACTTTGAATGTCCTGACTTCCTGCTCGCCGCTGGCCTGATCGCAATCAATTAGAGTGGTGGTTCAATAAAAACACACCCATGTATATATGGAGAACAATGCACACGCAAAGAGCGAACAGCAGCGCACATGGCTCTGCCTCATCTTCGAGGGTAGTCATGCTCGGCAGGAGTGGTGTGCCAGGGCAGGCACCACCCGATCGGGGGGGGTCTGATGTGGGTGATCAAACATCTGCTCCTCGTGATGAGGTTACTGTTCAGAACGATGGAGGAACACACACACACTAGAAATGAGAGAAGACGGTAGAGATGGCGGGTCACCTGCCGTGACGCTGTCAACGGTATCGTGCAGTCCCATATGGAGCCTGTGGCGAAGCCCCTCATCTGTGATACCTGCACGCGCAGTTTTCGCACAAGACGTTGCGAGGCACAAGTGTATCGCTGTTCGCGCAGCCCGCATACGCTGGGTCTGACATTCCCCACCCGGTGGACAACACCCCTCCTGGTCTGTCCCTTACGGGGCCACATGGGCGGTCATGGCAGTGGAAGAAGGAAGGGTTGGTGTGTGCGCGCGCGCGTGTGTGTGTGTGTGTATGTATGTGTGCGTGCATATATGAATGCGCTTGAGTACTAATGGTATTACATGTATCTGTTTCCTGGCTTTGCCTGTGTCTGCAGGCAGCGGCCGCTACTGCCAGTCGTTGGACAGAAGAATTCCTCAGGACTCGAGTATGTAATGCTGCAGCTTATGGTTGATGACAAGCTGACAACATTTTGATTGTTGAATTTGATTAGATTTATGGGTAATGTTGTCCATGCGGGGGTGTGGAGTATGTGTGTGTGTGGGGGGGGGGGGGGGCACAATGTGTTGCGAGAGTATGCATGTGCAGGTGGGTTTTTGATGTGTGGCGAGAGTATGCCTCCTGTAAATTTTCTAAATGCTGCAAACCCGGAAACCTTTGCGATCCGGAATCCTGCGGGTTTTTTTTGCGATGGGTGTGAAATCGCAAAAGTAAACCGGCGTCAAACGTAGAACTGTAGTAAGGAAACTGAGGGAATTGGCTCCAATCGCAAACATCTCCAGGTGCAAATTTGTCTGTGCTCGCAAATTTGCAAACTGAAACCGATGCAATTGTTCACGGTGTGCAGTCAATCCGGACACAGTTCACCGTTGAGCAGCGGATGGGAGATCCACACAAGAACATGCCAGTGTGTCCGTAGTAGACTAATATTCTCACACCGTATAAACTACTTTAGTTGCACTTTCCCTGGCTGTAAAATCAAGGTGGGGCGCCCTCACGGTACTTTACAGTGCTCGCTTGTGCACCATACATGTATTTTAGTGTTTAAACCGAACACGGATTCTTCGAACGAATAATCTATCGAATAATTTCGCCCTCCATCGGACGAATAATCTTTATTCTATCATACGCATGATGGCATTTTTCAACACTTTTTCAGCACTTTTAAGTAGTTTTTTTGAATTTTTTTGCTGATTATCGGATTTTGTTATGTGGAGGTGCAAAACCGGTTAACCTGTACCGCCAAGAGTACATAACCCCCCAGAGTGTGCAACGCCTGATCCAGCTCTGCATAGGGTCTTCGTCGAAAGTGGTCAAAGACCGAAAATCACATTCACTGCATCCATGTTTCCCTCGTATGGAAAGAACAGAAGTATTACTAGATACCCATAGGAGATTAAAACTTGGAGAGGAGATTGAGAAGAATACTACGACTGTACGAGCAGATCTGCGCAGTGCAAATATCAGTAGGGTCAGCACTGAGCATAGATCGTTTTGTTTTTTTCGATTTCTGATAATTCCTACGACTATTCGATTATTCGTTCACCCCACGAATATTCTAAATTATTCGATTATTCGATAATTCGTTTCAACACTAATGTATTTACTGCACTATTCATCAGTGGTAGGGCATGCAGAGAGTAGAGATTGATGTCCAGACTGTGGTGTGAATATAGACCATGTGCACTATGCTTTGTGGTGACATCTGTGCACATTTTCTGGACAGGATGGGTGCATCCAAGAGTACTTATTGTGATTTGCAGATGTAAAAAAAAACCCAGTGCAATGCCCATTTCGTCCGATAGGTTTGTACGCACTTCATCATTGTGCACCCGGTCTCTTAGTAGAGCAGTATGGAGAGCCTAAACTACCTAGCAATCGATCTTCTGCAGTAATCAATATGCACAGCCTTAGCATCCATCATTTGAGTTTCAGGCTCCTCCTACTAGCATGTGATGTGCACTTTGTGCAGAGTGCGTAAATAATTAATTACTCAAATACTAAAATGTTTGATCGGAGGATCAGCGTACTCTGCAGCCAACTTTGACCACTACTTTGGGCTTTGGCCAGTTTGGTTTTTTTTTACAAGGGTTGCAGCATGTGTACGATACACTCGACTAGTGTGGAGCTGGTGGCTCTCTGTTATGGGTGTTGTCATGTGTGTTTGGACAGCTTGTGGTAGGTGTTGTGCTGTGAATGTCACTAGTACTGGCGATGAGCCTGATTCAGTGTACTGCCATTCCCTACTCCTTTGCTTTCTCCTTCAGAATGAGGAGGCTGAAGAAACTGACACCCGGGTAAGTTGTGCAATGTTAGCTTTGGCATCTTGATAATCGTTCATGTCGTGTTGGAAGCAGTAGGAAGGGACGAGCGGGTTCTGGGCCAGGGGGCGCCCGGGTCCCAAAAAATGGGGTATTATTGAAAAATGGGGTACTAATAGTACCCCATTTTTGCGGTGAAAATTATTTTTGGCCCGGTTTTTTTGCGGATAAAAATATGTGCCAGGGGGTGCCCCTACCTCAAAAAAAAAATGGGGTATTATTGAAAATATGTGTTGTGCACATGTGGGTTTGAATCTCACTTTTTTGGGCCACCTTGCCCCGGATGGGAGTGGGTATAAAAAGTAGAATGTTGAATATGGTGTTTATCATGAAGTTTTTTCCGTGACCTACCCCACCTCCCCATGCAATTTTTCAAAAATGGTCCTGCTCGCACACACGTCAGAAAGGTCAGTTCTTGATAGATACGATACATGTCATTACAAAGAATAATGGAACGAACAGTGAATATCGCAATGGAGTGGAGGAGAAAGGTAGTACAATTCAGTTCTTGTTGTCCTGATTTCATCAAGCTGGTATTGGATGAGAGACCACAAAGTTTACTCTTCGAATACGTGTGAGGATGGATTCACCCATGATCTCTTCCGTGACACGCAGTACGAGGTGGAGTTGTCGGACGCTCTGATGTGCACCAATGGTTCCACCCAGTCAGCAATGGAACTGTCAGTCGACGACCTCCTTTGCACCGCCATCGTGTCAACAGTCGACTCGGGTAATTTGGAGATAAATCCATCGTCGCCGATGTCGATCGTACCAACTCGCACACGAATCCGCGTTACTCTTGTTGCAACGGCACGGAGTTGAACGGCCTTGGTACTACGTCGTACACGCACACGATCAACTCGAGAGACTTCATTTTTCGTTCACCTCCTTGACAAGTTGCATTACGTCGCTGGAATCCAAATAGGTTGCATCAGCGAAGAGGTCGATGATGTGTTGAGAGCACGGTTCGTCACGCATGTCACTAAGCTTGTAGAATGAGTGTCTACCATCAGTCCACCTTCGCAGTATGACACCATCATCAGTCTCACTAATAGTTCCGTAGTCCTCCACACCACCGATGACGATTTTAGGAAGGTGCTGTTTCCTATTCTTCACATTCAAGATCAGACTGGTGACCCTGCAGATAATATACTCAGCAGCAGTGAGTGGTGACATATCGAATCTTCTGGGATGTGCTATCATCGGGTCAAGATCCCTGGTTGTCTTGCTAGCACTGAGGCGACGGATTGAGAACTCTTCATTATCGCATGAAAATAAATACCATTTCTCTGCTCTGCACGTCTCAGAAAATGTCCACGCCATTTTAGCTTCTTCACACTGCAAGAAGGAGTCGATAATGAAACTGCAGGTTGAGACTACTTCACCTCGAGGTCAAAGTTCACGCCGCGATGACCTTTGTAAACAAGGCTACGTCTAGACGTCTCAAACAAGACCAAGGGGTCACGCCACGGGGAGGTGACGACCTTGGAGAACACGATGTGTTTCGAAAGCGGAAAGACGCCCCCGTCATGGTGAGTCTTTTTTGTTCGGGTTTGGAATCTTTCGACTATGATATCAGATTGAGATGTGAATGCCTTTCTTCTATTGAAAGGTCGATGAGACGGAGGATTTTTCTAGCTTTCTGCTCATATAATTCTTACTCTCATAGTACTTGATTTTCATATATTTTCAGGGGTGGAAATACGTAAGGCACACGGACCATGGATGCGCACATCATGGAGTGTGCATTGACGTCACAGTGGATTGTAGGATGCATCATGTACCACACAAACACACACACACACACACATGCACATAATATACATACACTGTGCAATGACATCACAGCGAACTGCACGATCGGTGGATGCTATACATATACGGAATTCCGTGGTCTCTTCTCATACAGAGATGGTAGAGAGGAATTCAAAAGGAATCTTGGAAAGAGGACTCAACTGTCAATAGAGCGATATTCCCCGCTCGGAGCACGAATATTCCCCGGGTCTTGCGACAGAGTAAATAAGGGAGATGTTAGTGCTGATCACGCTCTATTTGGGATAGTACATGGGATAAATGGATTATACCATTCGTACTCTGTGCATACCGTACCCATTATATTTTCAATCGTGCTGACGCACTCATGAAAATATCTAGCGGTGTACCCCTCGTACCAAGAGTACATGTACTCTTGCTCGTACTCGTGGGATAATCGATACATGTCTTAGTGCTGATCGCGCTCTATTTGGAATAGTACATGGGATAACTGGATTATACCATTCGTACTCTGTACATACCGTATCCCTTATATTTTTCGTCGTGCTAACGCACTCGTGAAAGTGTCCAGCAGTATACCCCTCATACTCATGCGATAATTCTCATGAACGCCATCAGCTTGTACATAGCACTCAATCATTTATTTTTTATTTTTCAATATGAATGACATTGTGAATCATGACCGAAGACTGTTCACATCCTTCTTTGTGAGCCAGGTATTGAATTTATTATCTGTGTAGCCTTTCCATTGCACAAGACGTTGATCCTTGTTGTATTTTAACACCTTGTCGAATCTCAAACCGGTCTCTCTGGCGTGTTGCAGTTCTGCTTCGTAAAACGATCCGATGATGTGTTCTCCCATCAGATCACGAATCCTGTAGGTGTGTGGTGATGTTGATAGGATTTCATCCACCTCGAATACTTCCTCCGTCCAGTTCGCAGTGTAGCCCTTCTCGAAATGACGCTTAGATACGGTTAGGCGCACCTCGTCACCCACTTTGAACTTGGGTTTTGACTGCAGGGGGTCTTGTTGATCTGCATCTTTTGGTATTCTACCGTTCGATGCTTCGTGAGGTGTCATCCCAATGCTTCTATGCTTTGACTGGTTGTAGCGGTCTAGTAGATGAGGTAGGACATTGAGGTACGTGTTCGTGGATTTCTCTGTAAAGTGACGCCACATTCTTGCCTTCAACGTTCTATTGAAGCGCTCGACCACCACCGCTTTACCCTCGTTATGGGTGCTGTACATGATGACGTTGTGTTGTGATAACCATCGTTTCATGGGGGCATTGTAGAATTCCTTGCCTTCGTCTACCCAGAGTTTTAGCGGTGTCCTTCCGGATGTACTGACAATCTTATCGAACGCATCTCTCACGGCGGTACCCGTCTTCGATTTCAAAGGCATTGCCCAGGCATAGCGGCTGTATAAGTCGATGACTGTTAGCAGGAATTTGATGTTCTTATTGCTTCGGGCAAACCGTTGCATATCCACGAGATCTGCACTCCATATATGGTCAATTGCTCTGCTCTTCACCTTGCGTCTTTTGAAATGCACTCGTCTGGGCTTGTGCAATTCGTTAGCCAGTTTCGTATGGAACTGTGCGGGTTCTGTCTTCTTCTTCCGTCTTCCATCCTGAATTGCCTTTTGCACTTTGTTGTCCCAAAAGGCTCCAGCACCTTCCAGGGCACCTGAACTGAGAACCAGTTGATCGTTTTCCAGCTTTTCGTCATCATCAAAGACTCTTCGGAAAATTCGAAGTGCTTCATCCAGACCATATTTGGAAAATAGCTTTCCCATCAATATGGCATACCATCCACATACTGCTGTGCTTCTGTCTTGAACGGCTTGGGTGTTGGTGATGATCTTACAGTCTGCGTAGGCTTCTTTAAAGAAATCGCACAGTGCAGGTTCAGTGTAATCTTGCTCCATAGTGTATAGACTGCGTCCGAAACTGTCAAAAACCAGGATCACGTTTTGCTCGCGACACACGGTCAACCAATGATGTCCGCCTTCCGTTGCATCGTACACCGGTAGAACGTTGTCGGTGTTGACGATACAAAAGTCTCCATTGTTCAAGGGTGGCAAGAGGTCGTAACTCGTGCAGCCCACGAACCCTCCGACACCATTCAATCTTCCTTTGATATCGGCACTGCTGAGAGGATAGTCCATTCTTGATCATAGCCTGAAAATATTTGGCACGTGATCACATGGAGCGTCCGCTCAGGATATCCTTGATGATACGAGTGATCCTGCTTTTGTCCTTCAGCACCTGTTGAATGAATGATGCATCGTCCACCATCACCTTTTGTGCTCTGATCATGAAATGCTCGGGATGGATCAATTTTGCTTCTGTTGTTCTACCATAGGTGGAAGTCATATCGTTGAGATCTTGAAACTTGAGCTGTGATCCCGGTATAGCTATCACAAGGGTGGTTAGTTCCTGAATCTTTCGTTCTGATCGAAGGAACCCATCGACGTGTTTGTTGATTCCCATGGCACCTGCTATGGCTGCAAACGGGTACCTGGACATGTAGATGCGATTCGTCTCGTTGACCAGAGTAGTGTAGTCGTTCATCGTCTGCGTCTTCAGGGCATCCGCAGCCGCTTCCACCCGACTCCTGAACCTCAGTCGATCTTCATCGTAGAGTTGCAGCAGTTGTGATCGGCTTGTGAAATAGTTGCTCTTCAAAAAGGTTACCGGTATATTTGTATGCCGGAGGAAACTGTCCAGGATTTGCAGGATCCATCGGTCAAATTCATGATCTTGTAGTAGATTGAAAGGCACCGATGTTAAAGGTGCCTTTCTCTTCTTCCTGACATCTGAAACGGAATCGCGAACTTGATCGGTAGTGGAATCATAGTTGAGTATGTTGGATGCAATCACATTTCTCACAGACGGGTAACTGATGTGATCGGGATTGTTTTTGAAGTGGGTGTCATATAGACGCTTTACTCGCGGATCGGCTTGCAGTTCCAACAGGGTGGAGGTGCTCAAACTGTGATCTGGTACTTGGGAAAGAACTTTCTTAACGCTTTTCAAGTATGCATTGTAGTTATTACCTCCTTTTTGCCGCATGAGTGGTGGTATACCGAGAACTTCCCACGAATTTGCTCTCTTCTTAATGATGTGTTGAGGATGTTTCGTCATAAACTGCAAGGTTTGCAACCTTTTACGCTTGGGTATCGAGAAGGATCCCTTTCT